ATATATATATATATATATATATATATATATATATATATATACGACGTGCTGCCTACCCAGTCTGACTTCGTGAGTTGCAGTTCAAAAGGCGAGTTATATCATAAGAAAGCTGTCGATTCTGGTTCTAAAATTATTTATTTGTTAGCTAGATGTTTCGCCGATTTAAAAGGGTATTTGCATTACGCTCGGGTTAAATGAAGGTAAAAGGACTTAGTCTTCAATTAGCTAAGCGTGCACGTCGTCGATGACCGATCTCATGTCTTGCAGTAAGATTCTCCGACTGGGTTTACCAACTGAGAGCAAAAACGCACTCGATTCGGAGTTCCAAAGTAAACCACAGCTTTAAACTTGAGTAACTCACACCTGTGATCTGATTATCATGTTTAGATGTTATTATGTGATGTCATGCTTAATATCTACTTCTAATCCATATCAATAATGTGGACAGTATTAAAACTGGGTACACCTCTCTCTGTGAGTAACCGGAGGCGCTGTAGAGTTAGCGTTGTTTCGCGACGCTGATAGAGAAATTTGCCGAATAAATTTGCCGAATAAACATGCTCCGCAGTCTAAAGCTCGTTCGGATTCATTTTACTAGTTTTATCACACAGGCTAAATGGCCAAGTAGACAATGCAGGCGCCCGTGGGTTGTTCTCTACTGTAACGTCCAATTAATGTGCTCGGTCTATGCTGCTGTTAGAAAATTAGCTTGGGAGCTCGCGTTTCTCAATGAGAACGGGCTGCCAGAGAGCGGAGGATGGCAAATCGGTTGGGCGTCGTGGGTTAAACCCACAGGTTTACTTCGGCTTCTTCGCCATACACGCCAAGTGGTCAATCAAACGAACAAAGAACGAGCGATGCAAAAACGCCTCTGATAAACTGGTAAAAATCGATGTATGTTTTAGCAGCTTTTGCTGTGTGTTTCCTCGTTCAGTAGATCGCCTTTCACAACCATCTTTACAATTTGATTCTCGATGAAATAGGTTCTATAATTTTCGAGAAACTCTCATTAGAGAAACATAACATTCTGGATAATGTCGTGACTCAGCGTCTCTCCAGGGAAGCCGGTAACAATTATTTACTAGTTTGCGTCGGATTCTCTGCCTCCTCAGCGCTCCGTTGTAGTTGTGCAAACAGATTTCGCTCTGATCAGTCCACCTAAGGCCATCAGTAAACCTGTGTACTGTACACATGTGATATAGCCTCCTTGTCACGCGATATCTCTACTCCTACGCCAACGAGCTATGCTCTGATATTCCATTCCTGCATGAAATGAATTCAGCGTCGCAAATAGATGGAATAGACACCACTACCCATACACACATGGGGAACCGATTATCGAATAACTCTTTTTGAATAAATCTATGTTCTTGAACAAATTTTGGCTAGTGTGATGTGGAGCAAATCCAGACCATGCCCAATAACTATCCCGCACGTTACCCACCTTTTTTTGCTTACACGCCGTTATGTACGCTATTCTCATTATGATCGTTTAAGCAATAAATTGGTTATTTAGTTTAAAAGCAGAAATGCTTCTTCGATGTGTAGGCGTAGTCAAGACATTAGTATTAAATGGTAACATTTGTTCACGATTCACAGAACATCGTTGCTCTATGTTTCCAGTTCGATGTCGGGGACATTCCATCAAACGACTGGTTTTCAGAACGAACTAAAGTGTGTCTATGCCCGTATTTGAACCTAGACCACAACGTATCTGTAAGAATAGCTACCCCCCATTAAACTATTACGCGGACGCGCATAATATGGTCTACGAGGCTCAAAAATAGATACCACCGCTAATGCAATCGTTTGAGCGGAAGTCCATGCGATGTCTGTAACTACTACTTTATTCAACAAGCGGCTTACTGTTCCGTAAGTAATCCACAACGGAGTCAATCTACAAGGATGAAGTAAATTATCTTTGCCTAGCCAGTGGCAATATTCCTTACTTCTCTGTTATCTATCCGTGCATCTGAAAAGTACAGATTCAATAAAGGGATTCAGAGATTTTTCTGCAACACCTACTAAAATAACTAAGTTCATAAAAATAGCTTTATAATTAGCAAAGAGCATGTGCCAATATGGGCCTCATTGTAAACTTTCTCAGAAAGTTAATGCTGTCGCTGCTAAACAAACTCCCAATCTGTTGACAAAGGTGCCCTGGCACTAAGAGAGGCGTGGCGTAGAGTTCACTTGTTCAGTTGGCTTCAATGCCAACGGAAAGAAAGTTACTCTCGCCGCATTCACTGGTAATACAGCCATTGCAGTTGCGAGCCCATGCGAACGGTACTTGCTTGTCTAACAAAAACCACTATATCGGGACAAACCTAACTATATCAGATGTCCAACCACTTCGTCTTCAACATAGACATTGTCGGCCGAAAACATTAAAATACGGATTATTGATCAGGCAATAAACAATTAACAGAAAGTCGACTCCTGACTTTGACGGTCTCTGAAGAACAGAGGTCAACGGTGTTACTAGCGGAATGCCAACTGAGATAGGCGCAGTGTTGAGTAGCTAGCTTAATTGGCAGCCCTAAAGTCAATCGTGTTTGGTCGCCTTTCATTCCAATGAATAACAAACAGTAGCTTCACGTTTCGATGATCTGCTTCGTCACAGCTGTTTAGGTTCCCCACTTGGGAAATTTTATCTGAAGGACAGTTTAGAACTGGGTTTAGTTGCCTGAGGTAGAAGAGGGTATCCTGTGGTGCATTCGAACAAGTCGGCTTAGAAATTATATTCGGCTGTTAAGTCTGTTGTCTATATAAATAACGACACCGGATCGAAGCACGATTTTCAACGACAGTCTTGAATTCATAAAACTTACACCGATCCTTCTCCGGCCCGATCATGCATACACATCCGAACCTAAGAGATCTACTCTATTCGACTTTTTACATATCAAGCGGAACAAAAAATTGTTCAGTAGTAAAGTTGCAGTTGTGAGCATTAACAAGCAGCTTCACTAAGGTAGACAATAAAGCGATTTTTGCGAATTTTATAAGGTGACAGCATGAGGCAGTGTAAGCAGTAATATGACGAAACGAAAGATTCATTTTGGCGGGCTAAGCCTCATCCTTAAAACGGAGATCCAGTTTACAAAATGAGATATTTGTATTTGGAAGTGGCGTGTTTTATTATGTTGGTTAATCTGCAGTTTTTTGAGCCCATAGTACCATACGATATGATCGATTATAAACCAAGCTAGGCGTTATTGTGTTATAGGTATATATTTTCAATTACAGAGAGAAGCAGTTCATTCGTCTTCTGACCATTTTACTAGTGTGAAAGATATGCAATAGCCACATAAATATTTCACAGATTTTTACACAATATAGCTTGATGTTTATTTACAAGTTTCTGTTAATTCTAGTAGGGATAGTAAGTCTGCAGTCTTTGTTAAACTGCTGATTGAAAGTCAGCTGCAATGTAGCACATTATAAAGCTGAACCCTGCAAAGTTTTGTGCCGCCCTCGCCGCAGCAGAGAGAGATAGCGTCATACCTGCAAATTGACTAAATACTATTTCTATAACCGCGTTGAGTTATATTGCATAAAAGAATCTCCGTTCCAAACAGGTACGATGTTGTGCGAGTAACGAAAGGGCTTAACCTATATCACCGGGAATATGGTCGCTTTTTTTCCCAGTTTCGATGGCAATTGAGATGACAACTAGATTTACTCAGATCCACCTTACTCAGAAGATGTTTTTTGCTAAAATTAAAGTCATTCCAGAACCGCATCCATAATTGTTGGAATCATTTCTAAAGTTTGACGTGAGAACAGGAACTGCAGCAAGCGAAACGGAAAACACCTGGTGGCGTACTTAATATGAGCGCTGCTATACAGCAACAATCAACGTTTTGCTATATAGGTACATTTAATAGGAGGCGTAGGATTAAATCTTTCAAGCTACGTTTAAATTGGTTACACAGAAAGTGTCGGTAGGATTAGCCTTAACATAGAATCACATAGATGCATTTACCTAATGCCGCTTAGCTAAATGTTTTGAAACTGGCAGGGCTTGGGCAAAACAATAAATAACCTGACCTGTTCTAACGCTACCCAATATCACGTAATAAAAAATAGCTGAAAATGAAAAAATCCCTTTTCATCGATACATTCATTGGTGAATGAGCGAACGTTGTGTCGAAACCTTGAACATTATAATCCTAAGTTAACGAAATTATTAGTAAATAAAATTTTAAATACCGTAGGAGAGCTTTAACTTCCGCAGAAATGATTTATTGCTAGTTTCTCCTCGTCCACGGTAAGTTCTCACGTAATTCATCTTAGCGCCAGGTGCGCGGCAGGCGATCTAAAGACTCGGCTTAAATCGCCATTTATATCGTCACCCCATGTAGCTATTTCTTTCCATTAGCACTAACAAACACCTTTTTGGATACATAAAAATTATTATTATTTTAAAATCAAAACACACGCCGTTGCGTCATCTCAAGCCGCCCATCATATATTTATTTAATGTGAGTTTTATTTCTGTTATCGTCTCACACTGCTTTCTATACCACACGTGTCGCTAAATACCTTTTTGAAATATCTTTTTTTTTTTTTTTTTTTTGCTATGGGAAAGCATATATGCTGGATTCTCAGACTAGTCTAAATATATTGCGAATCAAGGCTAACTCCCATTGTAACTTGTAGACGGCAAGGTTGACTGCTCAAGATACTACGTATGTATACTGCAGCGCAGTCCGCTGACGACGGCTAAATCAGCAACAAAGTTACCAACTAGTACCTTTTACGGAGACAATCTGAAATGACGCAAAAATGCTGGCTACGAACGCGAGTTACCGGTTAAATTTCTAATATAGAAAATAGCACCATATAAAATTGACAGTTGGCTCGAGCAGCGCTTCAGGAAAATGTCTATTGACACGTGACGGTGGCGTCAGAGTATATTTTTTAAAAACACATTTCTGCAGTATTATGAGTATTCAGAATAACTGTAACGTGCTCCAAAGCTGTTGTTCACACAGAATCATTCATCGTTTTACGACGGACTGGCCGAAGTCCGAACTCTTTGACTTGGTCGATGTGTTGCCATCCATCAACTACTGCGACCACAAATTTTGAACAGGTAAGGAGACATGATATCTTGACATGGTACAAGGTTGTTGAGCAAAAATAAGAAAACTAGCTCGTGCTAATCTGTACATCTGCTCTAACCATCGCACATGTGTGATTGCGTAAAGCGATCGTAAACGGGTTGTTGCAAGTACTACATAATCGTTGGCTTCACGTTACGCGGCTCAGGCAGGCGACTCGCCCTGGTGTCACGGGGTGTGAGCAAAAAGGAATTTTTTGCTCACATCTCGTGTATCGGAGCTTGGAATAGATAGGTCTGTAAAACGACAATGCGTGGATCAAAGGATGATGCGGCAGTCTATGAAATTGTCCTCTTCTGAAGGGCTCGCTTGATGCGACCCCTAATATGCGTCTTAACTTACCGTAAAGCTCAAACCAGACGAGAATGACAGTAGGTATGCGGCTATTCTTGTACCATGGAAATATTTCGATTTGTTAATAGGCGTAGAACAGAGTCATTTTCTAAATTAAATTTGTGTAGTAGAAAAAAAATCGTTTCAGGTATCGCTGCTGGTTGATTCAAATAAATATTGGAAGCACATTATATCCATGCACCTGTAAAATGAAAAAAAAATTCATTGGATTTATGTGCACTTGATTAGCGTCTATATGCTGGCTGGCTTGCTTTCGGTTTCTTGTTCCTAGATCCAACGAAGCGGCCGTATCTGGCTGCGAGCGAAATGGTCAGTAGCCGTATAATGCGTCGTGTTGTAACTTTACGACGGTGCCACTCGTGAAGGCTACTTTTCATCCTTCTGTGTCGCCTTCTGCACCCAATCCAGCATTGTAGGCTGCTGCTAGCTTAGCTTTATGAATGCAAACCTTTAAGTTGAGATACTAGCTGGAACGAGTGAAGCTAATACCTATAGTGTATTCTGAGCAATTTCTAACTTCTATTCTGAGCAACTTAGCTCTACGTATTGCTTTTTAATTACCTATTATTAGCCACCTCGACTCAATTCTTTTTGCTACGTTACGTAGTAATGTACTATTTTTACTATAGGTACGGTATATATGTCTTGCAAATTCGTCATTAGAGGCGACGATAGTACCGGGGAAGATGTGCATAACATCACGACACAACTCGTAGCAGAAATGTACTACGTTCATAAAATAATGAGTAACGAATATATATTTTTACTTAATTGTCTCGTCGTTTCATTTTCAGACGAAAATGGAGCGGTCAACTTAGAAACGATACCCAACATTGCATAAGGACGCTGGAGCGGCCCTCGAGAAAAACGCTCTGTAAGTACAAACATAAACAATCATCGGTATTGGCAGAACATACAGGATTCTGTCTCGCAGTCGCCCCCTGGTTTGAACTCATACGTAGGACAAAATCGTTTGCTATATTTTCTTTATAGTCTCCGCTAGTACATACCGGGTCACGTAAGTGCTATACTATAGCAAACTATAGCATGAGAAATGGCATGAAGGATATTCCCTGTTAACAGCTACATCATAACTAGTTCTATAAACGTTAAACACGACCGTTTGTGTTTATTAACGTAACCAATTAACTATGAATATTTCCCATTACAAAACCGTTGATGCGTACAGCCGACTTTTGTGATACAACGCTTCTAGGGACATCATCTCCTCTACCGCAGAAACTAGGCACCGTTCTACGTTCAATCGCCGCTGAGAAAACAGTGCGCCTCGTCGCCTGGTACTTTAAAGAAAATCGGTTATTATCATTTGTTACACAAGTGAGCAGCTCGTTTAATAACTATGAGGCTACTGTGGAGATGGACGATCCCGTCATCGACACGGCCACTATCTCTCGGGACACGCCCTGTGAATGTTGCAAGCCGCTTTAAGATTCCAGTCGGCTGACATCAAGATCTATACTGCGCTGAACAATACGTAGCCCAACCAAAGAGCCTGTTCACCCCATAAAATAGCTGATTTAGCAACACCGATAATCGCCGTTGCTGGTCGAGTGTAGTGTGAGTGATTCGTAGCAAATAGCATCGGCTGTCGGTAGCCTTGCCTATTCGTAAAGAAGTTATTTACTTGGTAACGTAGTTACAAGTTAGTTAGAACGAAATTTTCCCTCTAACTTACCGGTGGTTACGTTTACTGGCCGCAGCAGAAAATTGCTTTTTGTAAATGTGAAGCGCTTAACTCCAATATTACTAAACGAAGCTAATTGGCAGGATTACCGCTTTTCTGCCACAAGACAACACAGAAGACGGCCATATGTATGTATAGTTCTATTCGTAGAGACAATTAAAAGAAGGTAATTAGTGAGAGAGAAATATAATTTTGATTTACAGACGATTTATCTGTTCTTTGTTGTAGTTGAGGCTGCTTGATTCATAGATAAGCGCTGACGGCAGGCGCTTCATATAATTGAGTATTGTGATTTTTGCACACGTAAGTTAGTACCGCTTCGCTGCGACTTGTCATGAAAGGGCAGCACAAGTGTTATGGCGACGAAAAATAATTAGCCGTACTAGCAAGAAACGGCACTACGCTAACAAACCCTTGCCATTTATTGCCATAAATTACGCGCTTGTCTGTTTTCCTGCTCCCCAGTGTCGATAATGACACTGGTTGAAGCCACGCATACCAACACCTCTGTAGCTTATGGAGCTTACTGTACCCGGTAAAGTTACAGGTGCGGAATCATGTAGTTTAAAAGAATCCACATATATAACTGACTTCCCTGAATGTCATAGCGGAATTTCATCTGGTTTCGTAACACACGTTAAGGGAAAACTTCTCACGATTCGTTGTAGGATCATTCGCAAATACAAGAGAGGATCTGCAGAAAGCCATTATTGTGATCTCACGGAATAGCCTGACCTGAATTACATACAGATAAGATATTTCATAGGTTTAAACTGTGTCGCGCCAATGATTGAACGTAAATTAGGGACAAACTCCTACCCTTAATATTCCAACCACGTATCTCCATATATCCGTATTGCGGTTGCAATTGTAGGCTGAAAATGGTGTATCTTTAAAGGCAAATGAATGCAACTAAGACAAGTAACAATTTTTGCGATTCCATGCAGCATCTGACTGTTTGGAGGATAAGCTCTAAAGTTCGCTTCAAAACGCAGGCGAAGGACATATGGATAATAGCAACACGCGCCAGACCGAAACAGACAGCGATAATAAGGTGGCTCCGACTTTGCCGCCAACTAACAGACACAAAAAAAAAACTGTTGAAGGTCCAACTCGAGCATAATATAGCACAACCTAAACATATACATAATTTTGGCAAACTGCGAAAGTTGGTGTTTGTTCAGTTTCGGACACAAACGAAATTATCCCTAAAAATCACTTCAAAATAAAACAGTTAGCGTAGCGACACGCACCTTTAATGTCTATGCAATAAGCAAACACTTTTTTAATTAAACAATTGACTACTCTAATCGCTTACCGTCAAAAGCGTATTTCTATTGTTCAGTGAATTCGAAAACCTATTATTATTATGGATGGTTCAATAACTACGATGAGGTTAAATCGACATTCAATGTGACTCACGATTTTTAAATTTGTCAGCTCATTTAGATTTTTTCCACTGTAGTGTGGTGTACGAAAAACAGGTCTGGTCCTCTTGATTTTTATGCGTAAGGAGCGTTTCAGCAGCCCGTAGTTGAACACGGCGACCCTTTACGCTCATCAGTGACGCGATAGAATTTACCACAATCAAATGTACCTTATTTAGATTCGTAAAGGTATTCAATTCTAAAGGTGTTCACGCAACATCGTAGAAGTTACCCTCAAAGGGCTAATTAATATTAATCCTATCCTTTGGAGCGGGTTAATTAATATTAGACTTGCTGAGCAGCACCAGCTCAATAGTGACGCTTGTCGAGCTAGATTGGGCTTATTTTTGAGTTTTTATTTTTATTAATTATAGGCACTAAATAGGCATTTTCACCTTAACGATACTGTTGCTTAATTGATATGCATTTGACTAACTGGCTGAAGCTGTTGCGCGTTAAGTAAAGCGTTTCGAGGTGTCCTGTACTTTTCTAGGCCCCTCAGTCTAATAAAAGTTACCACCATGCACTGCAGAGTAGTACTTCAGCACTTTAGCCATCGACCTGCAGAGGCGCTTATTGTTTCGCGTAAAATAGGCAAACGTAAGCTGTTATCATTATAACTTTTTCAGTTCCTTTCTCCAAGCACTTGGAGCCAAATTAGTGTATATAGGCACTGCTAGCGATTTTTCAACTCCAATCATCCGTTTCGCTGGTTAGATGAACGGATTTTAGTGCGAATGGGAAGAGAACGAAGGCGAAAACTGGTTGAAGACGGCTTTCCGTGCTTTGCAACTGCGTTGCTTTATTGTCTGCTCACTGCCCTTGGGAAACTTCGTGTTCTGACATTTTCTGGTCACCTCTTGCGAACGTCCCTGTTGACACTGCCACAGCTGGTTCTAGCTATTGCCCCTTAAGAAGGCAGACACGGAACTCCTCGTTTAATTTGGTGTATATCCAGAAGACAATTGCGGCTGCTACCTACCCTTCCCTTCAACACCTTGCCAGTTGACGGTAATACAAATTGAAAACATAGCAGTTCAATTAGGAATGACCGTCTGTGCCTCATTGCTGCGCTTGCTGCAAGCTGGTCGTAATCTTGCCTAATGTAAGAGTTATTAGTGTTTGCACAAGTGGGCTAAATTGAGTTCACTCGACGTTTTAGGGAAACGATTCATGATCAACGCAAACAGCTACAACATTGAGCATGATAGAAAAAAAATCTGTGCAGAAAGCTACCACAGATCAAGACTGTTTAGCAGTATCCATCGATGTAATAAATATCCATCTAGTAATTAACGTTAAATGAATAGTAATAGCGCATGAATAACGTAGCACCAGCATCCATGATGCTGCTACAGGTAAATCCGACGATCATCATTTATTTTCTGCACACCGCCGGCGCTATCGAACCTTGTTGGCAATTATTTACGGCATGTAACCGCGTTCCTATATACATTTTTGTTGCCCATGCCTTTTCGAAGAAGATCGATAATGGAATGTGTTTGCCTACCAGTTGGACCATAGAAAGCCCCGAACCTAGGTCGGGAGAATAAACAGATTGAACCCGACGTTGTATATTTTTTGTTTAACGAGGAAGTATTCGGGGCATGGCGATGAGGACTGGTGTGGCCTTCAAGCAACCCAGACGCGCGATTTCAATTCGTTGTGCCAATGGCCCATAAATTTCTTGAGTAACTCGACGCCGCATTTATTGTCTCAAATTTGTCGAGTATTCCATAGTGGCAAATGCCCCCTGGTGTCCACTGCAAGTACTAATATCACTTCAGGTTCGGACCTATTTGACACGACTGCCAAACTCGACTTCTTTAAGGCTTCCTCTATGGCTAGTAGTAGAAATTGAGCTATATATTGTCTACGGCGACTATATGCTTCAGGCGAGGTTTTTTGTTGATTAACGTTTCGCAAATTACATGTAATACACGGCACGCATTTCCAAGTGCCCTGAAATCAATTCACGGGGGCCTATTTTTTGCAGAGTTATTGTATTTTTAATATTTGGATTAAAATTCTGTAACACGTTACGTGTGCAATGCGGACAGAGACAGCAAAGTTTGTTTTTATGGAAAGCCTACCCGATGCCGGTAATGGGTTCTTGTTCTTTGAGTCCTTATATCTGGTTACCTCTGTGCTAGTGTTCAATATTCCAGTTTTCATTTATGACACGTTTGCCATCCACGTACTGCGTTTTTCTTTCTAAAGGCCTCCCTGTTTAATGTCTTCACCATTCTTCAGTAAATTTCTGCAGTGTCGTAACCTGCAAGTAACATAGACTTGACGATTGAGCGTTGATTTTCGAGACAAAACATATTTTTCTCTCTAAACCCATTTCTCCCAAGGTAATAATAGGTAACTTAATCGGTTTCCGCGCGCAAGTTTTTAAAAAACTTAAACACCTAATTATTTCGAATTGCAATACTATTTCAAATGCAAAACGTCGTTCTTTTCCTTAATTTATAATACTGCTTCGATATATTGTAATAACTGGTTCGACTACTAATAGTAGCAATTGAGTATATCCTTCATGTCAAGTAATAAAAATGTTTGTCCTATGAGATGAACACAGGCTTGTCAGTGTCTCTCTATAACCGATGGAATTTATGGGCGGCATATTTTTACGTGTAGTAATTTGCCCGAATTTCTTAGCCGGTAGGACTCAGTTATGGTAAATGACCACTATTAATAAATAAAAATAACAAAAACCTAATACGACCTGCCTATTGT